TCGGTCGGAGAGGTGCCCGAGGCAACCCCCGCCCGCCCGGGCCTGATCCGCGCAGCGGCCCCCGGAGCACAGTGAAGCCACCGCGGTACTGAACGGCGGAGGGAGCCCGGGAGATCACAGCCCCTTGAAAATCATTTCGTTATCGGAAGGAATCACGGGCTGGAACGACATAAGCATGAAATACCACCGATGCAGATTGTTTAAATGTTGTGATCTGGTGTGATGCTTGTAAAGTGGGTAAAGCAGGTTTTGAATGGAGTCAGATGTGACCCAGCAAATTTACTGTGGTTCCTCTTTTGATGAATATGCGTAAAGCAGGTGGTCAAATACAGGAAGCCTTGAAACGTGGGAAGCCTCTTTTGGGTGTTAATGTTTGCATGGCATGGCAAGAGTAACCTGACAGGTCCGCTCCCCCCAGATGAGTAGCTCGTTACAGCTGTTCATTACGTTTTTGACAGCAGGGTGGTTGGCTTATCACATAAGATAATATGACGCAAGGGAATGTCATGCTCGGCACAGAAGATCCAGAAATCTGCTGGTGCAGTCTGCTTTCCTGACTGCTGCAAACCTTGTGCGTCTTTGGGACCTCATCAAGGACAATTTTCAAGAGGGGGGGAAAAATGGCATAGGCATGGTACAACCTCAACAGAATTTAGATGCCAGACATTGTTTATGTGTTTTACATTGCACAACTGTCAGGTAAAATACACGAGCAGTCGTTGGAGCTGTGGTGGGAACTCTGCTGTCTTGGCCTCTGTTTACCTTACCAAATGATGCAGCACATGAGGAACAGCAGGTGAAACTTTTACAGAACGAAATACGCAGTACTGGGGACCCAGTGCTCACACAACACATTTTAGGGCTTTTTCTTTGAACTTCTGCTTACCTCACACACAGCCTCCTGATAGCTGAACCCTGCTTTCTGTGCCTCAGCACTAGCCATGAAGCTGGAGAGTCGCTCTTGCTCCTGTTGCTGCCCTGAGCCAGTCACTCCGGAGCATTTTGCTCCTGAGTAGAAAACTTCAAACGGAGAAAAACCCCTTGTGCAGAACCGCTCCCAGTTCGGGAGCTCGGGCGCTCTGTAGAGCAGCAGGGTCATACCTTCTGGGGCTGAGGGAACCAGGCATGGACCTTCTGTGTCCTGGGCAGTTTCTCTTACAACAGCATCATAGATGACAATGAGTGTGCTAGCATGGCTGTAAGACTCTGCCTTCAGGACAAGACCCAGAGGCACTTTTCTCTCCCATGCACCTCGCAGGGGACCTGGACAGCAGACAGATTCCACCAGGTCTTTCCTGTCTGAGCTTTTGGTAACAGTGTTGTGGTGCCTAAATACCTTTTTGGGTTATCCATCAGCCTCAGATCGTAGAAGTGTTGGCAAAATTAAAGGTAGGACATACTGCAGAGGCATTTTAAATACTGATTAGTGCATTTAAAACGTGCAGTAGTCTGATTTGAAAGGAATTGCGGGTGAACAAAGTTTTTACTATCATTTCTGGCATCATAACACTATTAAGCTCTAGTCAGAAGAAAATTAAAAAATAGTAAATTCCCTAAAAATTTAGAACTCAGGGCAAAGACAACAAACGTCTTAAGTGGAAGCTCAGAGAGAAAGAGAGATAAAATATTGATCTGCAGGATGTTGTTATTTATTGGATGGTGTGTGAAAGCCTGGATCGACTTGATAGCTTTGTTAAAAGGACCTGACATTGCAGTTTTGTTATTTAGTTTAGTGCAACTTCCTAAAGACTACCGTCTTAAAGATTTCTCATGATCTGTGTCCTCAGTAGCCATTGAGACAGTGTTTTACCTGAGAACAGTTTGTCATTTTGGTGCTTTCCATTCGGAGGTAGTGTGAAGAAGTCAAGCTGTAAATACTAACCATTAGATTCTGTTGTTACATTAGCGTGCGAGCAGTTTGAAAATTAGTGTGCAACCTCTTACTGGACTCCCAGTGTCAGAAATGTCACGCTCTAGAATAACGACAGCTGCCAGCAGGCAGCTCAGCAATATGATTTTGACTACAAAAGATGACACTAATACAATTGAAACACGGTGCAAAATGCTACAGGGTGAGAAAACTGATTTATGTGTGCTATCAAAAACAAATTTTCGTATTTGGTCAGGGCAATATATTTCTTTGTTCGGGAGAGTTAGGATTGTTGGGATCATTTTATAAGACCTTTTAAACGAAGATACTGATTTTTCTTCCAAGTTTAAGCTGCTGCAATTCACTGCCTGTTGATGCTGCAGCTGTCCTTACAGATGCCACCACACGTATCTACATGTCTGCTTGGAGTTGGGGATGGGGAGAGCAGGTACCTCCCATTTCCTCAGGCCAGTGGCCCCAGTAGCCACCCATAGAGCTACTGGAATCAGCAGAACCTGCCTGAGCAGAGCTGTCCCATCATGTGGGCCGGTTTCTGCCAAGCCTCAAGACTAGTGATTTTATTCAGACTCTGTAAGTGGAGACAGAGATTTTAAGATGACACTTGAGTCTCAGTTGTCAATTGTTCGAAATTGTATTTGTGCAGTTTTAGCAATCAGAGGCAGAGCAAGGAGCACTGTTAGGCATACTGGTAGCTAGAGCAATGGGTTAGTTGTACAGTGCAATATACATCGGGGCAACTTGCTAGAGAGGCCAGATTTTCAAAACAGCAGCTCTGTGGTGAGGTACCAAACTGAACACTTCCAAAAATTCAGCCAGCCTGTCATCTGCAAGGAAATAGAGTTTGGTAGCTGCAGCACGAAGTGTGTCCACTTGGCCCATGGACTGGGAGTTGGTTTTTAGAACTATGTTCAATAAGGCAATTTTTTGGTCAGTAGGGAGGTACTTGCCTCTTCCTTAGCTACTTTCTTGCTTGCTAAGCACATACCCCTGCTGCCCCTTTCGCTGTCTTCCCCCATCAGGTTGTGCTACTCTGGGCCTTGGGGGTGCTTGTTGGTTTGTTTTTTTCAGTTTTGTTTTTAACCCGTGTCTGGTTTAGAATGTGACACCAACAGTTATATCAGCAGAAATGAGGGGATGATAAAGATGGAGCATAAGGAAGGGTGACTATCTTGAGTGCCTCTGTTGATGAGAGAAGTTCTAACGTCAGACAACACCTTTAATCTCTTAGTTGTCCATTTCATGAAGGCAGGATAATACTTGCCTAATTTATTATAAACAGAGTAAACTAAGCACATGTGAGTACTGCACAGTTCATTGTGGAGAAGACAAGAGAGCAGTTGTCTGATTGATTGCCTGATGGTCTCACCGCTGTATTGCCTTGGTTCCCTCCTAGAACGTTACAATAGACACATGCGTTGAACCAGATGGAATTAAATTAGTGTAAACCCTCCTAGGGAAACAGTGGTGTCTTTGAGGCGTGCTCATCTCTTCGTTATTGCTAATGTGCTAGAATGATAAATAAGCAGTACAAACATCCCTTTGTCATAGCTCTTAAATTTATATAATGATATTTTGCTTTCTAAGCCTTCATGGAGTGTGAAATTTGCATTTTTGCAGTACTCCATGATTCACTTACCTGAAGAATGCTTTTTAACTGATTGAAGTAGTCATTGAGCATGAGAAGAGAGAGAAGTGAAAGAGAAAATTAGCTGAATATTGTCCTATTAAATAGACAAGGCAAACCAAAACCACAGAGGTCCATCACAAACAAACTTGCGAAACATAGTGATTTTGTTTTTCTTAAGGCAAAACACTTCAAAGATAGTTAAGAGCAAAGTTTAAGACAGCAAAATCCATTCCAGATCACAAGGTTCTTCATGGTTTGTCACATGACTCTTCCTAAGGGCCTGGCCCCTTATTCTACTTTTGAAGAGAAACTTTCAGAAAAGGAAATGAATGGAGATGAAGCACAGTTAACATGGGAACTCCAAGATCCAGTTTTAGTGCTGGACATGTCGTGTATCCATGTGTTTATAGACATAGTTTCATGTGCATAAGTTACAGACCTATTTTTTCACCCTCCACAGATAGTGAAAAATGCCTAAAAAGAAGACTGGTGCTCGTAAGAAAGCGGAGAACCGTCGTGAACGTGAAAAGCAGATAAGGGCATCAAGAGCCAACATAGATTTAGCCAAACATCCTTGTAATGCTTCAATGGTAAAATAACCTAAAGTATTTTATATTGCAAGACTTGATTTGAAATTATGTAAAACCAGTCATAATACATTGACTGTGTTTAATGCCTCTAGAATGTCATTCCTCCTGCTATCTTTCCTTTATATTTAAGGTTACATTTGCATCAGAGGAATACTACTTGAATAAAAGTTTTGTTCTTCATCAGAACTTAATTCAGAGTCCCTGTGGTGTCTGTAAATATTATATATTTTACCTAGAATAAATTAATTACCAGTATTTTATTTCTTTTCTTTAGGAATGTGATAAGTGCCAGAGGTAAGCATTTTTCCCCTTCTAAAACCAGTAGTTTCACATTCATTGGTTTCAAACATTTTACAAGTCTTTTTTTTAATGCTTCCTTTCTTTTTTTCCCCGCCTCCACGTGCCTAGACGGCAGAAGAATAGAGCTTTTTGCTACTTCTGTAACTCTGTTCAAAAATTACCCATTTGTGCACAATGTGGTAAGTAGAAATAATAAATGAAAACATACTATGCTCCATCCCATTTGTGGTCTTAAACTCTCAGCAGTTAAGAGTACCTTTGTGATTTTTGGGGCAGGTTCTTTTAAATCCGCAGGGAATATCCTACTCGAGAAGAGATCTTGCTTCATCATACACTAATATGCATGCCTCTGACCCCCAGAGGTTTGCAAGTCTGGGTTGTGGGCACACCTTCAGTATTTGATCTTTGGAAGAATATCTCTCACTGCCTTTTAGGATTGAGAACATCTGGCTGACCGTTTCCCTAGATTGACCATGTGGAGTATTGATTCATAACAGCAGTGAAGTTAAAAACGCTCTGACTGCCAGCAATGCTGCTTTTTAGGGATGATATAATTTCTGATCAGTTTAATATCAATTAAAGCAACAGTACATTGTTCACTTTACATAGTCTGGTAATGTAATATGCTGCTCACGTTATTCACGTGTGCTGGAGGGCTGATGCTTTGAAATTAGAAGAGAAGGGCTCCTAGTGACTGAAGTCGAGTTCCGAGTCAGGCTAAAATGCCCCCTTTTTGGTTTTTTAAACAGCTGCTTGCTTGCAGGGGATGTTGACAATCACTTCGTACTTTGAGGTGAATTGTATTGTTTTACAGTTTCAACCCATCCTTGCAGATTTTCAATTTGTCATGAAGCTGTTTGGCTGTTTTGTAATTTGCCTCTCAGAGCTGCTGACACCTGTGGCTTCCAGTGCCTTTGCTGGGACCAGCAGACACTGAGCAGTTCTGGAAGCCAGGCTGTTAGTGTGCGATGGCGGTGGGTCATCCTTCCTAAGTCTTCCTTATGTCATCGTGCAGTGAAGGACTAAAAACACGCTGTCTTACAGAATATTATACATCTGAAGTTGACTCCTGTGCGTTGAATTTATCTTCATCTGCAGTATGTTTCTGGAGAAAAAGCATTCCTAATAACAACTATAAACTAATATTGAATCCCAGGGTTTTCCAAGATAAAGACCATTAGAGCTGTTTGGTGCTTAATCAAGCATTGGGGACAGCCCCTAGAAACCAACAGCATCCGTCTTAGAGAAGTCCCTGAGGGATGGGAGCAAGGTAACTGTGTTGCAGTGCTCCAGTCCTAGTAATAACCCCCCCACCTAACAGTGCCCAGCTCAGCCCACCACTGGTCCTTCCTCACCCTCTAAGTGCCATTTAGTATCTAAGGTGTGATTTAATACAAAACTCTGCTGATGCTGCATACTGGGATTTAATTATATTTTCAGAATAGAATTTGGTTTTGTCATCTCTTGAACGGGTTTGCAGGGAGCACCCTTTTGTTGGTTCCTCTAAGCAGGCAGTAACAGAGACACCAACGGGATCTGTGGCAGGACAACTTACATCCGTGAGAAAACTCCGTTGCGGCAGCCTGGACTAACTACAAGACTTTTTTGCTTGTATAACTGCACACACAGGGCAGATCTTTCTGGTGGAGCTAGTTATGTCAGAGGCAACAACCACCACCAAAAACCCAACTATCCAAGCACCTGTGAGTAATTACATCATCAGGTGCACATGGTTTTTTGTTTTCAGAGGGCCTCAGCCTTGCACACAGCACATGCTGCTTTTGTGGTGGGACAGAACTAGCAGAAGTTTTAAATGCAACTTTTTAAGATGTCGTGGCTTGATTTTCACCTTAGTTTTGTTCTTTGGTTCGTTTTGACCTTTGAAATTCTTGCTAATGCTTTAAAACATAGGGCAGGATGACACGTTGCCTTGTTGTCTCAGTACTGAGGAAAGGGATTTTGGCTGAAAACAGACAATAATTAATTTGATCTAAGGGAGATGTGAGGGTGGGTTGCAGACATCTGTTTGCATTATTTTTGTCGAGATTTACAATTAAGCACAGGCGTTTGGTTGAAATACTGCTCTTATGTGAACATTCATTTTTATTTTTTTTGATTTTTTATATAGTTTTCTTCTGGTTGCTTGCCTTTTTTTTTAAACAGGAAAAACCAAATGCATGATGAAGTCTTCAGATTGTGTTATAAAACATGCTGGTGTGTACAGTACTGGACTAGCAATGGTGGTAGGTATATAAAATTACAGCCTTTTTTGCACTATGAGGTTATTCTATGCAAATCTTTCTGAAAAAAAGAAAACAGATTTATGGAATGATAGCATGTACCATGCTAAGTTTTTTTCCTTATCTTACTATCACAGACTGATTTTTCCCTTACACTGGAAGCCCAAATTTTACATTTTTAGATTCAGCTCCTGCAGACTCCTGACACATGTCCTGGGTGCTGACAGATCTGTGTTGGTGGCAGGCCCTAAGCGCATGCATTAGCAGTGCTGGAGCTTACATGCCCCATAGCCAATTCCCAGTCTCCATTAAAATCTATGATCATTCTGTAGAAACCAGTGGACTTCTGTTGCTGTCCTCTCAGTATTGCAGAGACCATCAATATTCCAGAGAGGAATCTGAAATTCCATGGCATTAGGGGAGAATTTTATTAAAAAAAAAAAAAAAAAACACAAAAAAACAAACAACATTTTGGCTCTTAGCAGAGATAGTCATAGCTTGTGGCCTTTGAATCTTTTTTTCTTAGGACAAGTTAGTTGCTCCATTCTGGAAAGCAAGGTAACATAACCCTCTGGATTAAATGCTGTACGGACTAAACCTCTGTCCTGTTTCTGTCTCCAGTTGACAGTCAGCTTCTCAGTAACACAGTGGACTTTCCAGACTGAAGTTCCTAAACTCTTTCCATGCGTTCAGTGATGCAATATTTTCATCAACAATTAATTTGGATTCACCATTGTTTTCTTAGGTTTGTGTGCATGTAATGCACAAAGTAGTTTGTTATATATGGGCTGAGGAGGCTTCTTAAATGGTACAGTTAAGGGATAGTTGATGTGTAGAAACTGTAGTTCAATCAAAATGAAAGTTCAAGAGTCTGTAACTTATTTCTAATGAGTTATTTGATCTTTGCTCTCTATGAAGCTTGTATTCTAATACAGCATGGCTTAAAATCTGAATGAGTGATTTCAGCTGTTAGGATCTAGTGGCATTTTTCAGGTCTTTTTTGTAATTGCACTTTTCCAAGAACATTGTTACCATTTATGGATCTCAGGTTTCAGCTGGAGGACACAATTTCCATGCATAAGATTTGAGATAGGAAATGTAAAAAAAAAAAACAGAAAAGGAAAAAAACAGGTTATTTTACGTTATACTTAATCGTGCAGAATGAATGTCGAGCGAACAAGATGAACTGTGGAGCAGCCTGATAGGAATACAGATGGAGTTCACACTCTCCCACTCAACTGGAATGAACCCACTGAGAGAATGGATGCTTGGATACATTCAGGGTTATGGAATAAGAGTCTCTCTCTAGCTACTGCGGATGTCCTAAAATGATACCTTCCTAAGATGATACCTTTCTGTACTTGCAGGGTGCAATCTGTGATTTCTGTGAAGCTTGGGTGTGTCACGGGAGAAAGTGTCTCAGCACACATGCCTGTATCTGCCCTCTTGCAGATGCAGAATGTATTGAGTGCGAAAGAAGCGTCTGGGACCATGGTAGGTTGCTCCCATGTAATAAAATCTAAAAGATACTTTTCTCCTCACATTGCTGAAGTTATTGTACCTATATTCTTAATGTAGCATTTTTAATCTTCCCTGATTAGTCCTTGCAGTGTGTTTGTTCAAAGCAAGGCATTCTCCTCGTTTTAAAAATAGACCTTGTGCAGTGGGGAATGTAAATGACCTGCCCAAGAACATACAGTGCTCACCTCAGGGATGGTTGTGTGATCTAAGGCAGTAATGTCCTATCAGCTGAGGGCTTCACAAAACCAGATTGTCAGCACAGTTTCCTGACGCTCTCACTCCGTTCATCTGCAGTATTACAGGTATTTGGATTCCCAGTTGCTTAGCAAACTGTACTGATCTCCATTTGTGGAATCCTTTAAAGTGTTTCTTTCGAGCGCGCATCAGAGGTGAGAGGGTGGGAGGGAAGGAGACTGGATGAGAGAGAATGTCATCTGATTTAAGTAAAATACTTAAGTCCATAGTCAAATTAAAATGAAGAAAAGTAGTAATACTTGCTTTATATTTATGCTGTCTGGTATTGTAGGATACGTGGTATTTTTCAGTCTAGTAATGGATGGCAGTGTCTAATTTAGGACTTTACTGAAGCATTTGTGACAGAAGGGAGAACTGGTCTTCAGTCAAAAGTACTGCCTAAATTGTTTGGAGAGCACAACTTGATGCCTGTGCCCATTGCTGATTATTTGCCTTGATAAATCTTTCAGGAGGCAGAATATTCGCCTGCTCTTTTTGCCACAATTTCCTCTGTGAAGATGATCAGTTTGAACATCAAGCCAGCTGCCAAGTTCTGGAAGCAGAGACATTTAAATGTAAGTTAGTTGTTCATGGTGCCTTTCACTACAGCTAAGCAGGCTCTCCGATTGCTTCCTCTGTGCTCCAGAATACTGTCACCTCTTCTAAAAAACTTTCACCACCACCAGAGGAAAGGGCCTGTTTCCTATATCCTTGCTCTCTGTATCCAGTTATCTAGACTAGAGCTTTTGTCTCTGACCTTCCTCCTTGCCAGACTGCACATGGCAGTTGTTTCCCTGCCTGGCTCTTACAGGCATCCCATAGGAAACTGCCTTTGCAGAAGCCAGCAGTCTCTAAAGTTGCCGTGTTGGCAGGGGCCAGGACTGCAGCAAAACTGCTGGAACTGCTGATGCTGCTTTTTTACTCCACAAAGCTCTGCAGGCAAGAAGGAGCTCTCTTCCACTCTGCTGACCACATGATGAGCTATTTCTAGATACCTGTTCCCATGGAAAACAGCTGCCCTAAATAAAACCACCTGTGTTAGTCTGGCTAAACTTTCCCAAATTGCTGTGGCTGGCCTGTATGCTGGTAAAAGGTTTGTTTCTGTTGATTTTGAAAAGCAGCAAGTTTTGAGGAAGGCCATCACTCAGGAAGCAGTCTTCGACTGATGTGGTGAGACAGAGTGAGCATGGAAGGAAGTGAGAAAAACCGAGTTCATCCAGAGCATGAACTCCGTATTAGTTTCTTCTCTGACCAGTGGATTGTCCACGTGTGTGTCAGTAACGTATCGAATGTTGATACATGTTCACTTTTAGTGAGTAAAGAACTGTGTCCTTTCCAACTTGGATTAGTTGTGTGGACAAAACAAACTCGTATTTGTAAGAGGACACTCTTACATGGCCGTGCCTGACTTTGCCGGACCACTGCTTAATCTCTGGCTGAAGCAGGCAGACTTGAAAGGAAGGTAACAAACCAAAACACAAACAAAGCAGGACTGTATATGTTTGAAATGACTCATCTTTTGTAGAAGTATTTCTTTTCTACCCACCATTAACTACTGTTTTGTTTATTCCATGAGACAAGCATTTGTCCTTTCCAAAACTTGTATGCCTGCATTTTGACTATTATTTTAAGTCCTTATTATAGAAATTCAGGGTGCTTTTTATCATGTATAAAACTGTTTTCTTCAGAACTGACTAATCTCTTGTCCTAATTGATTTCCCCCAATTCAGAATATTTGTTGATTTCAACAGATATAGTCTGTGTTTTTAGAACTCTTATCTCCTTTTTATCTCTCATCCTTTTTTTCCCAGCCAGCTATTTTCTAAGCCTTGATTAGCTTCCCTTCATGTATTCTGCCAGAATATCTTCCTGCATAGCAATATGGAAGCAGCAACAGCTATTCCACAGAATGTTTTTTCAGTGATTGTTAGATGCTTTTAATTCACAGATGTGATGTCACACCCTGAAGAGAGAAATTGCTTTTTTGAGGGTTTTCATTGGGTTCAATATTTCATGGCACAGTGCAGTCTTGGTAGAGAGGCAACATTTTTGTCAGTGTGTGATAACACGTGCTAAATCCTGTGGCTGTCCTGCTCATGTGGAGAACTCAACGATAGTTATTACTTCAGATTTAAAAACTATGTTGTCGCAGGGGCAAGGCAAGGTGGAAGGGAACGAGTACTTGCAGAGACAGATAACATACTTAGTACTGCTTCCTGAAGAGAAACTGCTCATCCAGCTTCGCATTGCTGCCAATTCCTGTGTGGCTGCCTTTAGTGTACTCCCTCTAGTGGGGTAAAGAAACCGATTTGAAGCTTCCAGACAAGTTAGATTTTGAGCACCGATTCCACATGTGCCAGCTACAATTCTTCAACACAGATAGGCTTTCCTATGAAGTTGCATGCAATAAAGTACGTTTCCAGAGGACACGACAGAAAATACAGAACAAAGCAACTCTTCTAGGTTTGGAAGTTTGCAAGCTTTAATTGTTCTCACACTCCATTTAAATGAGATAAAGGTATTAAAGGCTGCCATGGCACTGTTTAAAGTGACTGTAAAATGCTAGTGCTCCTTCTTATGACATTGTGAGAAAAAGAAAAGCAAGGTGATCACTTAATACCAAATTGGTTCTGAAACTTCTGTTTTTAAAAGTTTGGAAACTCAAGAAATAATTAAACCTTTTCCCCCTTCAACTTTTACTCTGTGTATCAAATTACATTATTGCAATGAGGCTTAGACTGGTAAAATATCTAGTAAAATGGTACTGTATGGTAAAAGGACTGATTTGTGTTGCTAAAGTGCAGTTGTGTCAAGTGCCTCAATGACATTGTTACATACTTTTACAAGGTTTTAAAAACATCACAGATCTGCCCTTTCCAGGTACTGAGTTTCACATCTTGATTTTCTCCAACAGGTGTGTCCTGTAACAGGCTTGGGCAGCATTCATGCCTGCGTTGTAAGGTAAAGAGTAAAGATATGTTTTGATCCAGTGTAGAGCCAGGACAATTTAAAAGTTGATGGTTTTTTGTTTTGTTTTTTAAACAGTCAAGTGATGATCTGACCAGAAAACACTGCAGCCTGGATCCAATAGAAATAATCTCCACAGCTAACTCAGTTTTACACATGCATAAGCTAATTTGTTGACATCAGGCTTTTGGTTTTACACACTCAGAAGTAATTTTGTATAAAAAGTTCCACCTGCTTCATCATCAGCATTGCCCAGATTTCTCCAGGTGCTGGTTCATTGCTTGCTCTTACTCTTCTTACTCCATATGTTTCCTTGCAGTCTCCCATGGTGTCAGTTTCATATTCTAAATTGTTCCTTTCTCCAAATATCTTCACTGGCACCCTGGTGCTCAACAACTGAAATTTCCATCTCTAATTCTTGCCTTCAGGTCACTGCATAGTTATGTTCTAGCATAGATCTGATTGTGTTTTATTTAAGCTTCTCAACATAAACCAAAGTTGGCCAGGCTCCTTGTGGGCAGCGCTGTAATCCAGTCCTTGAGTATGTTACTTTCTCTACTTGTTTATCAACACTTTTATCCAGCCTCTCCCTCAGGAAGCCGTGAAATTATGCTCAACACAGAAGTGGTTGTGCCATGTGCAGACTCCACCACTTCCACTGCCAATAGAGCTCATTAAATTTTAATCCCAACCAGGAAATCCTGCTGCTGTCAGATACTTTTTTGCATGCTTCTTGCTGAAGAGTGTTCTTCTATGATTTAAACATTTAGCCTTTTTATTCTCCTTTCACTCTGCAGGCATGCTTTTGCGACGATCATGTGCGAAGTAAGGTTTTCAAGCAGGAAAAAGGAAAAGAGCCTCCCTGCCCTAAATGTGGCCATGAAACTCAGCAGACAAAGGATCTGAGCATGTCAAGTAAGCCTGCTTCTCTAGCTAACAGCAGTACAAGTACCATTGGTGACTACTTTTCTGCATAGGAACACTGAGTAAAGTCCCATTACTTTTGATTATTTTGCAAAGCTTTGCTGTGTCTGTTTTGGGAAAAACTTGGTGTTTCTTAGTTCTAGAATTGAATGGTCTCTCATTCTTAATCACTAATTGATTCCAGTACAGTGAAAGCTTTTGTTTAGTTTGAGATTTTAGTTATGGAAAAATAGAAAAAATCAGCACTTAAGCCTTTATTTCATCTACATGAAGCTGGCTGATGAATTCCAAAGTGCAGTTTGATGAATGCATACAACCTACCTCAGCCATTCTTGAATAAATCACAGTATGTGTCGTGTCTGCAAAGCACATCCAGTTACAGATTTTCTTGGCTAGAGTACTAAAGTTTTATCCCAAAACTTGAGTCGTACTCCGGGGGCAGTTGCTGTTTATACAGACTTGGCTGCAGGGGGACAGACTGTGTGTAGCAGAAAGGTTCTGTCAGAGTAAGGATTAAACCTGAAAATGTCAGATTCAGAAAATGGCTGGCTAACATGGTATGCTCTTTGCTGAGTAGTGAAAAAGGACAGAAAAGGAATGTCAGATGCTCGGCTCAAGTTGTTGTTGAGAGGTGAGAACATGATTATTTTTCTCTGCCTGCAGCACGCTCTTTGAAATTTGGCCGACAAACCGGAGGTGAAGATGCAGATGGAGCTTCTGGTTATGATGCGTACTGGAAGAGCCTCTCCTCCAGCAAGGCTGGAGATGCAGGTGATCGTGAGGATCAGTATGATGAATATGAAGCAGAAGACGACGATGAAGATGACAATGATGAGGGAGGGAAGGATTCTGATACTGAGACCACAGATGTATTCAGCAATTTGAATTTAGGAAGGACCTATGCTAGTGGGTATGCACATTATGAAGAACAAGAAGATTAAGCTTAGTATGCTGGCAAGCTAAAACACTTGGAAGGAGTAAACAGTGCTTCCCTTGAGTTGTGTACATGCCAGTAGGATGACTCTATCAGGTACTTACATATCAAAGTTAGGGAGTAAAGAGTGTGGGACTTCTGCAGTAACTCCAGGTGAGGTTTTTTTGGGTGTTTTTCTTTTCTTTTTTATTTTGTATAAACCAATATTGGATTTGGGACTGGGGGAGAAAATAGGAATATTTTTATTCCCCTAAGCAACAGAAGTGGTTTTGTCCTTGAGTTACTGAGTGTAATGGTTCAATGCCATTTCCTCTATCAATACAGGAACATCGGAGAGCTGTAGAGCTTGTTTCCATTTGCTCATCAGAAATTAAGTTATTTTTTACAATAAGTTTGTTAACTGATTTCATAAAATTAATGTAGTGGTGGGCTGGTGACTGTGGATTTTTTGGTCTGCACAATAAAAGTCAACTGCATTCTCTAATGAATTGTCATAAATATTGATCTCCCTTAAATAGTTGGAGAGCAGGTTTTATACAAAGTGTAAATTGACACTAAACTAACTTACTTGTTTATGTAGCTAAGTCACATCGATGTATTTCTGTGTGTATGAACATAACTTTTCCAGCATTTTTAGTATGAGATATTAATCAGTGGGGCTATGTGCAGTCAGAACAAGTGCACCCCAGATAATCAAAAATTTTACTGCAATAAAAACATTGGTGTATCCTCTCTGCCACTAAAATTGATAAGACAATTTCTCTTTAGATCAAAGAGACTAGTTTCTTCTGTGCCTAGTTTTCAACTCTTTTCCTTGCACATGATACAAAAAAAAAAGAAGACAAGCCCTGTGCGTGAATTCATCAGGTGAGAAAACACGTGTGTTCAACATACAGGGCTCAAATGCTGTTCTGTGCAAACGTGCTGGTACAAGGCAAGGGATGAGCACATCCCACCTCAGGAGGTGACACTTGCAGAAGTGTTTGTGGTGGTTCTCATTCGAAAGTCGACATGTTAATTACCAGTGTGCGCATCTAAGAGACAGTATGTAGTTTCCTCCTGTATGGGAATGTTGAGAGGATGGCAACTTTAACAGCAGACAGACCAAGATACAAGGGCAGCCACCTGAAGTGTTACTCCAGCTTTTTAAATGCCATGCTTAAGTGCAAGAGAGTTTCTTGTTATCTGTCAAATATCTGATTATAGAACTACCTACTTCTGTGATGCTTTCTGTTCTCTCTCTTAGCAGCTAAAGGTCGTACGTTGGCAGAGCATACCCTATTGAGAGTAATTTTTAATGATGTTAAGATTGCCAAATGAGCATTTCCTAACAAAACAGGATTGAGGAACCTGGCCTTGATGCTTCCCTCCTAAATGCATGTCATACCAAACGCAGAGAAGACATGAGCTGGGACACATCCAAGAAAAAACCAAACTGACAAAGAGCACAACTTGGTTATGGCAGCTGAAGGAAGAAACTGTACTGGAGAGAGGGACGTGACCTCATCAGTACATGTCAAATGCTTGCCTTCAGAACTGGAGAGGAAGCCAGTTAACGCACTGTCTGAAAGCCAAATCCCCCTCAAAAATTGAAACTCTAGGACCATCCGGGTTCATGTGCTAGCAAAGACCTGCCCATCTTAAATTACAGACCTGATAGATGTCTTGATGAGTCATCTGCATAACCAAACCCAAAGTGAGGGCAGCAGGGTGCCTGCCAGTTCAACGCTGATTACTTCCTTGTAAACTGGCACCTGTGATCGAGTGTGTGCTCAACTTCAAGCAGTCCAGAAACTTCCACAGTGGAGTCCATCTGTGGCGGGTCAATTCCAGCAGCAATGCCAGTTTTTTTATCTTGGCTGTTTTGAATAGGAAGCAGTTATGCGTCAGTACAAAGTCTTATGTAGGATTGAGGAAAGCGTGTGTGGTTTTGCATATACATGCAATTATAGCTGCTTGCATGTCACTTATTAATATTACTATTTATCTGCGCAAAATTGCCCTTTAAGGTTCTTGGCTCTTGAATTAGGTTTTTTTCCATGTGAAATCTGCTGCTGTCACTGGCTGTGCCAAAGGCTGCTGACGTAACAGAATTAATCATCATAATCAGAGTAAAGAATTATTCATTTTCTCATTGAAACGTCCTTGCACTGATCCTTGCAAGATCAATCCTCTGGAGCTAACGCGTGTTCCCAGGTCACCGTCATAAGAGAAGGTCACGGCACTGCCTGCAACAGATGCTCAGGATACCTGCTGTAATTTAGCAAGGTCACCACTCAACGGACAGAGGCTTTTATTTGCTTTTTCTTCGTACCTGCTCCTCACACCACTGCAATAAATGCCTGTGCTGTCAACCTGGCTGGAAGCAGGGTCCAGGCGTTAGACCCGTGGTGGCTTTGGAGGGGTCAAAACAGGCCAGTTTAAGCTGCTTTAAAGTAATCCGGCGGATTCAAGCTGGAATAGACAAACATGACCGCGTTTTCGTGGCAGGACAGGCAGGATACGATGCTGCCCTTCCTCATCCTTTTCTGCTTATTTAGTGAAGTTAAAAGCATGTGGTCTGTTGGGGACAGGTCCTCAGAGCTTGCTCTCACAGGAAGCGTGTCATTTGGGTTGCCTTGAGGTACATTACAGACAGGATAAACCAGAACAAACATGTATCCTGGCTTTATTGAGAAACAGGTCTGGGACAAACTTTCCATCTTGCTGGCTCCATTTTTGTTCATCGCCATTAGTCTGCTTTGAAGTGTCTTGGAGGAATGTTAGTAGGGCACTGACAGGGCAGTGTGCCACCTCTACACATGGCACTTCGTTTACTTGTTCCTCTGAATTCGGCAGCTGATGTAGCTGCTGCTAAATCCAAAAGTGAGGATGCTGCGGTACTGATCACGTACGTTTTACAGCTGGCAGGATCTCAGGCTAGTTCAGACGCTGCCCAAATCCAGCAAGTACTTTCAGGAGGCTGCTGGGCTGCTTCTGTCAAAGAGAGATGATTTTTCAAGTCACAAGTCCAGGACTTAGTGCCTGGGCTTACGGAAAGGCCCCTGCATAATTCCAGGGTTTTAAGAGTGCAGTACTGCAGAGTGCGCTTCCTGGTGGGGTGAGAGGCAGATAAATAAAATCCTGAGATTGTACATGACACTGACTTTTCCTTTAAAAATCCTGTCCCTGATTAAAGCAAATTGAGCTGAGAGAACGATAGTTTTAACATGTAAAGATGTCACTTTAGATGGAGAGTTACATATAATACTCCAGAAAATTAAGATCTTAATAGAGTCTTACACTTACTTTAGATCTTTTCCACCTCCATGGTAACCGTTTAAGGAAAGCTTAAGTAGAATTTGAATCAAAATCACACTAAAATTTATTGTGCCTGTAGACCCTAAAAGGCAAGAGCTGTGGCCACCTCTGTACACTCTTTTCTGGCGTTAGTTTGTTACGGTGACAGCACCAGCGCATTACAGATTCATTGTGTGCTTATGTGGATTTAATGCATTTTCGTTTGTGCTCGGTGTGATTTAGCACCTGCCTCTGGGAGTCTTCTGGTCCATCCTGTTGCGGGGTTGCTGGTTTTGTTTCCAGCAAATGGCTGTGAAGATCAGTGTCATGTACTGAACAGTCTCAATTGCCAGTTGATCAAGTAGTAGCAGCACGCGTGTCGCAGAGAACCGGAGGACAAGCTTCGGAAGTGCTCAGAGCCCTGTGTGTTCAGGCAGAAAGCATATTAGCGTGTCTTACGAGACATTACATGCATCTGTCCAGGTCCTGATCCTATTTCCAGAGGGACCAGTGGCAAAGCTCCCATTCGTCCAAGTGGTAGCAATTTAATAATCTTTAGTATCTACAATTCATCTTAAAAAGTCGAGAGGTGTTACGGAACAAAACGCGAGGATAAGGTGATGTGAGGAAGATGGAGTGAAGCTTCACGTGAGGTTAATGTGCTACCATTAGCGTAAAAATATTTGTTCTAAATTTCAACAGTTCTACCGGAAAGTGTTTTCAAGACTGAAAGAGAAAGCTGTTTAACGCAAGAAGAGAGACGATTCTACAACAAAACACATTTAACAATGTGAATTGTTAATTACAATTTAAAATTTTAATTGTTAATTAGAAATGTAATTACTCATCTTCTGAAAGTCTGCATGTAGTCCATAAATATTTGCTAAAAGCTCAAGGCAATTAGGACACACACAAATTTTATCATCTCTGCTTTGTAGGTACGTAAATAGAAAACACAGTGATTGACAGAAATCACAGCCTGAGCCATCCAGTTGGCAACAGCCCTCTGCCGCTTGGGCTCTCCATCTCCTACCCATGAAACTCCACAGCAAACAGATTTCATAACTAATGACACCTCTTTATTAAGATTATGTGCACTGCAATTAGCTACCACATGTCTGAAATTTGAAGCAGGGCCTAGTTTTTAGCTTCCATAGCCAGGATAGACATAAAAAAAAATCAGCAAGAGAATGTTGCAGATGTGAGGATCATTCCATGGAAAAGCCACTGGTTTCCCTTTGCTAAGCAAACGATCGGCTCACAAGCCCGTACTTTGTCTTCTGCAGCTATTTACTTGATTAGATGCTCATACAATATGGAGGGAGAGGGAAAAATAAATTACATTTCAGTGTCTCACCAAATTAAGCTACTGCATGCCGTTTTGCTGTTAGTGTACAACCATCCTGATTTTAAGCACTGCACAATGATTTTTGAAAAAAGGAACAACTGCAGAGCGTGAGAAAGCCTTTTGTAGCTATCCCTACTCCTAAATTTTCTAACACTAAAGTATACCAGATGTTTGCTGCATTCTTTTTAACCCCACTTCTGAAGCCAGTGATTCTTCCACAGTGTTCTCCCAAACTTAACCATAATTGGAAATTCAATTTTGTTTCCTTCTGAAATGAGAAGTACTGAGTGCCTACAGGGCCTGAGTAATACTTTTGACTTCATCACGATGTTATGTGACATCTATTGTAGATTTTCACAGTACAAAACCACTGAGTAAGGTTGTTGTGTTTTTTTTATTATTATTAAAGATCGTGCCAAAGACCCACAATTTCTTTAGCACGTAATACAAATATTTCGCTGCGATAGTTCCCGTGACTCTTCCTGCTGTTTTATTTTTGCCATAGAGAAAGAGGTTGCTTCTTTCAAAAGTGAA